TTAAAGTTTTTTTATGGATGTACGTTCATTAGTGACGCGACACAAATCCAGATTTCGGACGTCGCGATGCGAGAATTTCGACTTTAGATTTCAATATTTCAAATTGCGATTAGTTTGCGAATTATACGCGAAACGCCTAAAAGAAAGTGTCAAAATCCCGACTTTGAATAAATTTTCGGAAAACTCGAATCGGGTTCAGAAATCCGAAATATGGATTTTTCCTACCACTAATAATGTCTGTCGTACTGCTTTTCGCTCAAGTTACTTAACGGATTGAGATGAAATGCTGCAAAGCGTTTGTTTAAGATCAGGAATAACCTATAAGCCATGCTTCCACCCCCCCCCCCCCCCAACGTATTCAAATCCTAAAGGGAGGCCGACACACAGACGGTTATTGGGGTTTTTTGTTTGTCCATTCACAAGGTTATCTTGATGATAAGAACGAAATAATAATAAAGGAAAAAACAAACCGAACGAAAAATTTATTTATAAAAGAACACTTCGCGGTGACCGAAAATTATGGAAGAAAATAAATGTCATTGCGATTTAAAAAAAAAAAAATATAATAATAATAATAATAATAAAATCTGAAACCAATGACTTCAAAGAGGCGATGGAAATTCGGTTATAGGACTCGACGAAGTCAAAAAAAAAATGTCTCTCTCGTTTTCCGTTTCGTGAGGCTTGTTCCGCGTGATGGCGTGTCCCGAAATTCACGGCTGTGGCGTTTCTATTAAGAGTCGATCGAAATCGTTTTAAAAGCGCATAGACGTATTCACACAGAAAAAAAAAACGTATAATACTGAATGATTTTTTCAATCATGAACCAGCAATTATCTCTGAACATTTTAAGTGAATTTAAAATCTGTTTTATTGTTTTACTTTTAATCATTTTGGATTCGCTTAAGTTTTATTTTCATTTTATTTTTTTTTTAGTTTTAACCCCAACTTCGTATACCTTAAACAAGTACGTTCTTTTGTTTTTCAAATAGGAACCTTCCATTTTGGACACGTATTCGAATAGAGAATATTTTTTTTTTTGAAATTTTGGTATACACGACGCTTATATCAGATTTACCATTTATGCGTTATAACAGTTCAAAGTTTAGACCGGAGGATTAGGTATGGACTGTAAATTGAACATCCGTTTTTAAACTATACATTGATAACTCATCCCTACTCCTCCGGTCAAAACATTAAGCGGTTTAAACGATTAAGAAAAACATAAACAAAAATCAAATTCCCTTTGAATTCACGGCGCAAGCGTAACACCGTTTTACGAGGGCCGAACAAAAATAGGGCCGCCAACGTACAGTCCGAATCGCTCGAACGACGGCTCGGAGTGTTTTTATTTAATGATAAAAAAAAAAAAAAATAATAATAGAATAGAGGTAGTATGTATTCTGCATCGCGAGTGATTTTCTCGCCGTGACGGACGGGAGCGAATACGAAAATATATACGGGAAATGAGAACCGGGAGGAGGGATGAAAAAAAAAAAAGAACAGACATTTGATAAGGCGTATTACATAAGACGTATATATTTTATTAACACGCGACGTACAGCGGTAGGTATCCGAAACGAAATTCGAGTCGTAAATATAAAGTTCCCGTAGCATTCGGCAGCAGCCAGGCAGGCGGCCCTGTTTAAGAGAATTATTATACGCCTCGGGGCGAATGCGTATCGACAATGACGGAAACTGTACCCGCGTAAACGCGTTTACGCAAACGGCGCGATATAAATTTTTTTCGTTATATTATTCCGTTTGAATGCGTTTAATTCTCGCCGTGAAATATTATTATTTCCGAGTTCTTTTATTGCCGCGTAGCCGATATAGCGCCCGGATAACGACCCGCGCGGTCGGACGCGTTCACGCCGCAAAACGTAACGCGATAATATTACAGATTAGAATGTTATTAATTGTCAGGGTTCGGATGTTGTAGCTCGATAAAACGATTAAAGGAAGTAAAAAAAAAAAAAAAAAAAAACACTTAAAACAAAACAATGAAGCAACGAGCAAACCTCCCCCCCCCTAAAATCACGAAAATCCTTACGAAACACTTATAGTTATTAAATTATTATTAATTAAAACTCCGCGAGAGAGCGATTGAAAAGTTAAAAATATTAAAAAAAACAACAACAACAATAACAAAATGGACAAATAAAGGAAATGCCTACAAACACCCGAACTCTAATAATAATACAATAAAGTATAAAATAATAAAAAAATACGACCACGCGTGTAGTAACCGAAAGGAAATTTCGATTTTATCGTACATTTTTACTATCGTATAATACATCGTGATAAAATGGCGAAAAATCGAAGTAACTTTTATAACTGACCTTCGGCTATGCACTTGACTCGTTTCGTTTTGCACGCACTCGATCAAGAACTAGTCGATTTCGAATTATCGTATAATTGATTCGTTTCGACGTTTCATTTAATCGGTTTTCGTCTCGATTTATCGCTGGAGACTGAATCTACACTATGCGTGCCATAAGTGCACGATCCTCCCTTTCCCCCCCCCCCCACCCGTGAGTTTATATCGCGCATCTTAAATTTAAAAAATAATTTCTCAAGGTTCAATAATTTTCACTAACGAGACAAAACCGACAACCGTCCCGCGACTCGCCCGGCTGTTAAAATATTATGCGCGATTGTTCGGATCGGGGGTGGCTCCAGACGGGACTATAGGGCCCCCCCAGGCCGTATTTTTCGTTAAAAAAAAAAAAAAAAAAAAAAAAAAAAAAAAAAAAACCGTTGTACTATCTATCGACCGTAACAGACACAGGCGCGTAATTGGACGTTGTCTACTGTCTACTATATAAAGTATAAATAAACTTCTTAAACGCGGTTTTCGTTCGTTCTGAAAAATATGACTTAGTTCTCCCCCCCCCTCATCCCAGTCGAGTCTCTGGAACCGCCCCCCCGGGTTTGAGTGTACCGCGGTTCCGTCGTCTTTTACCGCGGCAACGCGGGAATCGATTAAAATCGAAAATGCCCATAATACCACGGTTGCGACCGTAGTGCGCCGCGCGCGCGCTCTCCGGTTAAACGTAATGCGATTAACGTACGCGGGACCAAGAGAAAACAATGAAAACGTCGCGGCCGTGTACGGCGTTGCACGCGCGCTCGTTTAACGGGCCATTGTCGTCCGGACAATAACACTCGTTAAAGTCCGCGTCGCGTGTACGCCCGATTGTAATCGTTATCATTATTATTATTATCATCGTCGTCGTCGTCGTCGCGATACGGCATTAACCGCGGTCGCACCTACGCGCGTTTTGTGCGCGATAATGACAATATACGATTACGGTGTTACCGGCTACGCCGACCGAGCGGGGCAACCGGTGTTCGCGCCGCCGGGACCGGGTCGCCGGTGTACGGTTGAAAACGAAAGTGTTTTTTTTTCCCCGAATAATTACACGGAGAGATGGCCGGACGGGAGTGCTGCTCGGCGAATCGGGAGTTCGCGGACGGAAACCTACCGGAGGCGAGACGAAGAAGAACGCAGAACACGAACGGCGATAACATGACTCGGGCCGCGTTCCGCGCTCGCGGACGAAGCCGAGCCGGGGGTGGCGGAAGCGAAAAACAACGGAATTTGCCGGCGGTCGGAGACGCGCACGCGTCGTGCGAAGCGATCGGACCGGCGGACGCGTGCCGCGGACGCGGACGTTTAAAAGTCTGTTGTTTTTTTTATGTATTTCTGTTGTTGTTCCGTACGAAAATACAAACATAATCTATACGCGGGCGAACAGACACTGCGCAGCAATATAGTGCCGCCGGAGCGTATAACATTATACCGTTGCGCGTGTATAGTCGGCCAACGGGTTCTGACGTTTAATGTCCGGAAACTTTTGTCGGGGCGGTAGACGGTTCTCCACCGACGCCCCGGGGGAATTTCGCGTATATACGCGGAAGTACTCGCGCGTATACCGGCACTATATGTGTGCGTGTGTGTGTGTGTGTGTGCGCGCGTGTGTGCGCGCGTGTGCGATGACGACGATCCCGTCAATGTCAAGGATGCGCGGTGACGGGGGCGGCGGCAAACCGCGGGGAAAAATTGCCTGTTTTTCATCCGGCAACGGCCCTCCGGGGACCCGGCCGTCGTACCCGAACGGCGTGTATATATACGCGTCAGCGTAATTTCAAGAACTTTTTCACCTCTCCATCGCCGCCGCCGCCGCCGCCGTCCCCGGGGTGCACTTTCCGCCGGGCCGCCGGTCCGTTTCTCTTCCAGGTACGCGTCGTACGGCCACGCGCGCGCGCGTGTCCGAGACCGATTCGCCGGCGTCCCTCAACCCCCCTCCCCCCCCGCCCCGCGCACACCCGCGACCCGCGACGTCGCGGGACCGGACGGTAATAACCGAGATCGCGGGCCTTCCGCGCGCGTCTTGGCCGCGCGGGTTTATTCGTCCCCGCGAGCAGACAATAATATTTCACCGCGCGTAAACACCCGGCGACGCAATAACAATAATAATACGCGATCCCCCGCGGGAGGACGGTCGGCCGAGCCGGTTTTATTGCCCCGGTTGCAACACGCGCACGCGACTTTATCGCTCGGCCCGCCGCCACGGTCCGCGGGCATCGCGAGGCGGCGTTCTTGAATTCAGCACGTCGGCCGGCCGCTGGATTCGACCGTTTCCGCACTCGGCCGCTGACCAACCCGTCGGAGGGGTAGAGGGGGTCGCGTCAATCGGACGGATGCGATAAACATAAACACGCGCTAAAATTGAAACTGATTTCGATAACCTATACTCGACGCGAAAAAAAAAATAATAATAATGCGTCGCGTTAAAATGTGTTTTCGAATTCCCGATCACAACAAGCGACAAATTCAATACACCGGAAATACTCTTGTATAAACACTCAGATGCCGACTCGATTCGTGTATCGTTTAATCCTAGTATTTATACCCGTGTTATATTTGATTGCAACTTTTAATCAAACGTTTCATGGTTTATGCTTCTGGATCTCGACGGAAATAACGAAAAATGATAAGAATAAAATATTGGCGATTATCGCCTATTGGCAACCTCGAATAATGGTATTAACCAATGTGTTTCAACTGAATAACGAAAAGTGTTCCTAAATTCTATCAATGTGCTGAGCAATCCGCTGGTTTAGCAGATTGATTTAAGAACACGCGGATTATTTTCCTCGGAACGATTCCTACCGCGGATCTCAAACCAAACGCCGGGCCGCAGACCCCGCACGTGAAGATATTTCGGACCGCTCGAATAATCGTTTTTTTACGTTTTTATCGCCGGCACACGCTGCAATTACGTCCGTAATCGGCGGCGGAAGTTGGCATTACATTGTTAGCAGAACTTTCCGATACACATCCGAACAATGTTTAGACACACTTGCCGGACATCGATGAAAACTTGTCGGAACACCCGTTTTCAATCATCCCACCTTTCGGTTTGTAACGCTTATTTCGCACTTAGCGTTACACGCGCATGTTAAAACCGTTTAAAAACCCTCCGACAGTATTCAAATATACACTCGTTGAACATTGTTGAAAACTTTTCGGAATCCGTTTGTGCCTCCCTCCCCCCCCCCCCGTTTTCGTTTATTCCAAGACGAACATTTCAATCGTCATTTAATTCAAAACCTCACCACATTTCTCATGTTATACACTATTGTTTACTGAGGTGTTGTTGTATCACACTATATAAAGATGTATGTATTTTTCTATGTCTAATTTTTTTCGCGTACCGACTCGTTATGTATAATGTATACATTAACGTTACGGTGTCACCACATGTAATACCGATTTCACACCCCTTTCATAATCATCGATAAAGCGTCCGGATGTCTAATCTATACTAACGATATAACGACGGACGATTAAAATTATGGCGACAGTTCGGACGCGAAATACCGAAATATTGCCCCGGTCGGTCCGTTACGGTTACACCGTTACGCGCACGATCGTGGAATCTCGTTAGCGGTGAAAAATCCGATGTACTTCCTGTCTGTGTACGGGTACGACGGCTACCGCAAATTCCGTTTCCGTAAAACGACCCAATGTCGTGTGCAACGGCGACCTGAGCCGCCGAAGACGATCGCCTCCGCATTTTCCTGTCCAACGCCGAGTGTCCTTCCTCCAAACACCGTCCCTCATCCATCTCGTTCGCGATCTACACAGTGACCTTTGTGTATGCGATTTCGATTAGGGCTTTTTTTTTTTCAATTTTCGGCATTTCACGCGTGTCCAATCCGTCCCGGTCTCTCGGTTCTTATCCGTGGTAATAATACTGTGTTCAGTTTGCCGTTCAGTTCGCCAACGGGCGTTCTTTCTTCAACCCGATCATAATTCATGTGTACATCAATCGATTCACCGCCGATTTTCGCACGGAAAGTGTATTTTGTCAGCTTCGAATTTGAATAAATGACGAACCGTCGTCGGTAAACTGTTCGCAACGCCGACGTTTCGTTTTTAATTATTGTATTTTCGGCTAAACAAAAAAAAAAAAAAACACGGAAGAATCCGTTCGATCCGAACGGCGCACGTACCGCAGACCATGTTTCCGCGCCCGGGTTCGATTCGTCCGGTCGCAAACGTCGCGCTTCTCGACAAGCGCGCGTCACGTCCTCATCCGTTCCGTAATCGCACGCGCGTATTAATAATAATACAATAATAATATTACGTTTTTCCGCGTTATTGTCCGCGCGCACTAGCCGCCCGTCCGACGTTTTCGTTTTCGTTTTTTTTTTTTCCGCCTTTCTATAATTCTATTACGCGGCCGTGTCGTCGTAACAATAAACGTACAACACGCCCGCACGATTCGCGCGCCCGTCACACGTACGCGACCCCCGTCGCGGTCGTCGCCGCGACGCTTAATTCGACCGGACTGTCGTTAATTTATCTCCGCGTCCTTTATTTCCGCGAAATAACAGCAACGATAATACGAATACGCGCGTAAACGTGCGTATGGGTATTGAAAATTAAGGCGCGCGCGCTCGTATACCGTACATCTCTTTTCGGCGACGACAAAACCCGTTGTTTTGCTCTTCCGGCCCCGTCGCATTGCGCGCGTACGTGTACACGGTGCGCCGACCGTACGGTAGAGCGGAAACACGCGACGTCGCGTTATACATTCCCGGAGACCGAGACGGAGTGACCGCAGTCGCCCCGACGTTTTTATTGGAAGTTTGCGAACAACCGTTCCTGCGCGTTAGCCGCTACGCGAGCGATTGGGGGATTACGTATGTCTGTCGTGACCGATTCGCTTACACGGCCGTTGTATTATTATTGGTTTTTTTCTACGGAGCAGTCGCCGTGAAATAACGAAAATACAAAAATTACGTGTATAATATGTTTCTGAGTGGGCTGTGCGAATTTTATTTCGACGTTTTATCGATGTAATACATACATGAATGCTGGTATAAATTAAATAATTTTATGTGTTCCACGTTCCCCACTGCCGACTTGCAACAGTGGCCGCGCCCGTCCGCAGTATTAACTTTTTTTTTTTTTTTTACTGTTTATCGGCCTGTCACCGGGTCTTCCGTCTTTCAATGGTGGCGACCGTCTACTCCAAGGCTACTATACGTTTTTGTACTTTGCCTTTTTCGTCAGCTCGTCTTACGATAAAGTTCCACGCATATACACCAACCCGCCCACCTGATTCGGTCATGAAGCAACTGCTGTCTCGTATGATACCCATTCACCCCGCTACCGGTCGGCCATATTGAACGTCATTAACGTATAGAGATCGCTCGACCGATTAACTATATCAATTGTACATTCTGGACAATATTAGCTGTAGGACTTATCGATCCAACGATTGCTCCCCCGCTTCGTTAACCCCGGAGTGAATCGGAAATATTATTTAGAATCGAGTATTCTGCATGCTCAACCCTGTGATTTCACTTCAAATATCGACGCCGGCCACGGTTGCGCGTTATTTTGTTACGTATTGTACACATTGCGTGTTGTGGGTAAGCGAAACCAATACGAATACAACGAAACAATAAATTGCGTACACATAAATGCAATTATTGCCTACGTAATAGTAACTGTGCGATTTTTTACGTCGTTCTACAACGCGTAAAATATTAATATTATAATATTCCGAAATTGTTTTACTGGAATAATATCATAATAATCGTCAGCGTACACAATATTATATACGTAGTTACTTTTTTTTTTTTCTTTTTTTTTGTAATTTAACCACCGCACCGCCGCGCCGGCGTCGTCGCTCGTGATTGTAATATTAATAAAATAATATTTTGCGTGCGCGCGCGCTGTAACGAGATGATTTAGAATCAGCAAACGAAAATTTAGTTTAGCAAAAGCCACTATATACATAAAGGCAGGTAGGTATAGGTGGGTAGGCAGGCCCGGGAAACGTTTTAAGTTCAACGTAATTGAGTTTGCTACGCTCTGAGGGGTCGTTCATCTGGAGAATTTTCGCGAGATTCAACGCGATATTATCTCCGGCGGCGGCGGGGAAGAGGAGAAGAAGGAGAAAGAGCGGACGGAAAACGTGTAAGACGAGTACGCGATTTTCGTTTAATGTATAATAGACATCATTGGAGGGCGGAGACGTATATTAAATAATAATAATGTGGTACGTTATAATATTATAATAATCACCGTCGACGTTGCATTTTACCAAGATAGGTATACATTTTACCTCGTCTAGACACACGAGCCGACGACCAATACGTTTATCCGAACCGTTGTCTAAGGTAAATTGGTAATTGAATTGTCTAGCTGCAAGTAAATCTTTTTAAACCGTCATCGTTTGTTTATCCGTACACGACTCATAGCCCAACGGTTTATGACAGGCAATGAAAACAATCGTCTTTTAGATTCTGAGTGGTGCGAAGAATGGATTGCGGATTTCACAAAGACTTTTTTTTAAATTTTTTTATTATTTTTTTTTTTTTTTTATGTGAACACTTTTCTACCAGAAAGCACACTCCGATATATAAGATACAGACGCTTTTCTGAATGGACATTTTCTTGAGGCGGTACTTTAGAGAGGTCATTTTTTGATTTTCTCAAGAGTTTTCCCAGCAAATGAGAAAAACCGGTAAAAAAGAACATAAAAAAACCGGGGAAATCGATACAACATTATACAAATATTATTGAATATAATATATTGAGCCTATTTAATTATTTTACTATAATATGGCATACATATTTTCGACAAAGCATCACTATCAACCGAATTTCGCTCAGAATCGTTTTTTCGTGAGCAATGGTTTATCGTTGCTTACAAATATACATTAAATATTCTGTGTTTTAACTTCCCACCTGTGCAACGGTGACTGCGATCGTCCACATTATTCTAGGACAGCGTTTTTTTTTTTTTTTTTTTTTTTTTTGTATCTATACAAAACGTTGATAATTATATTTTATCTTCATCCGTAGATAACTATTCTAGCAATTATCTCTTACCTATGTCTAGATATTTTAAAATGTATCTGTATATAACTCGCGCGGTGCATAATTATTTTCAAAACGATGATGGTGCGTGTAATCCGCGAGTTTTTCAAATACTGTCTAATCCGTTTGTTGGTTTTTTTTTTTTTTTTTAGTCGACCGAGGGTATATTTTTTTTTCAATATTTTAATATTCGCATTTCCCTCAGGCGACGTTGATATTTAATTAACACAAAGCTGTAATACATATACTGTACTACATAGAAATCGCTTTAAGAGATATTACAATATTGATGGTAATAATAAAACGGGTTATTTCAATGCAATATTGCGGCCCTTTGAAGTGAGCTAAAAACGTCTTCATTCGTAACTGTTGCGGACCATCATATTATTACCGCGACCCGTTGAGAAAGTATAAAATGAACCTGCTCCGGCTATAATCCGCAGCCTATACATACTTCTTAAGATTATTGTGTGATATTATGTTTTATATTATTAACAATGTGAAAAAAAAAACTCGCGTAGCTACTACAAAAAGTTGTTTCAAACTTAAATTAAAAACAAAAAAAAAAAAAAAACAAAATTATTACTCCGCGTTCTACGTTGTATAAAACGCATTGATAAATGTAATAAAAGTCTTGTGTGTACCGCGGAGTGGAAAAAATAACTTTGCAGGTATTGTGCTATTAAGTATACTCTAAAACGACTAAAAAATTATTGTTGTCCCTATTTTGTAAGAATAATTATTTACAAACGTCCAAATATAGGCTGCAACTTTTCAAGTAAAACATAATGTTTGTATAGGTACCTACTGCAATGGGTTACACTCAAATGGTAAAACGGCAACATTTTTGCACCGAGACATTGTGACCCTTGTTGATGTGCGCATGCGCAATACATTTCTTCCGTGTGTCTTAAATATAGAAACGCGTCTTTTTAATATTATAATATTATATTTATGCGAATAGTTCTCTTTTTTTAAACAATCTCAACATATTGTATGACTTTTACGGCCACGGTATAGAGTAAAAAAATTAAAACGCAAGATTTTAAAACCGTTGATAAGTGTTCGAACGCGTGCCGTTTATGAGAAAACAGTAAAATATGTACAATCATACGATTCCACGTGTACGGTATTATAACATAAAAAAGACGTTTCGAATTTGTTGAGATAACGATAAAAAAAAAAAAAGAATCATCGTTTTTTAACCGACTCGGCCGTGTCTCGTGCGATTTTCGAGAATATAATATCGTGGAATAACATCGTGTTTATGATCGGTACACGACATTTAATATTTTTAAAACGAACGACTTTTAAACGTAATATATGTTTGCATGCATAATAACATTACGATGTTGAATATTCGGTATTCCATACAATTTCAAACGCGACGAATTGCAACGATTAAATTGGATTAGAAAACGCCTCGCACAGAATATTAATAACACAAAGAACCGTATTTAGGGATACAATTTCACATTTTTATTAAATATCTGACCGTGTGAACGGACGGTGTACAGCGACGGGTTCTACTGAATAATGAATTTGTTCGTATTTTTTTTTTATTTTTTTTTTTTGGTAAGCTTTTGATTTAAATTTATACGGAGGAGATTATTTTTAATATTATATTCACACCACACACAGACGCGCGCACACACGCTCGTATACTCGTGTAGAGTGGGTATACCTGTGACAATAATTAAAAAAAAAAAAAAAACCAACAATGGCCGACAAATGACACTATATATATATACAGAGAGAGAGAGAGAGAGTGTATAATATAACGCTGTGCATCGAGTTGACCCCGGAGTGTAAAAACAAAACGTGTCATACGAATTATAGAACGTGTTGAACATATACAATTATTATATTGTACTTTTAAAAGTGCAGCGGCTGAAAAACACTATAGAAATACGAGTAGGATGTGTAATACGCGCGGCGAACGCACGCATCTGGCGGCTATACACTGTCGTTGTTAATCCAAAAAAAAAAAAAAAATGCTCAAATATACAAGTGTAGTATACACGTCGTATATAGGGATTTTCTTAAAACAAAAGCGTACCGTTTGTGGCGGGGATCGTTTTTCAGTTTTAAAATCGATCGCGACCGTTTTATCGTGGACGATATTATAGATTGTTGAAAATGACGTGTCTGAAATATAGACGGGTTTTCGTTTTTATGCCGTATAAAACCCTACGTGAAAACCAAGGCGATTTCCATTGACTTTTTTTTTTTTGTTTTTTTAGTTTATCAACGTGATAGAGAGGATAGAGAGGAACGAACGACGCGACATCAATTCGATAATACGATAAAATTACTAAATCGACGAACAGTGTACACATAACGGATGACAGATGGCGATGTTAACGTTCGTATTGGTTGAGTCGGTAATGAAAATATACTAAACGGATAACAGTTGTGGGGCGGTAACGCGTGTTGTTACATGGAAAAATTATCCGGATAAACGCACGTCTAATATCCATTTTGTCCTATCCGGGCAAACGGTGAATACCCTATTATCCGGTACTGTTTTTAGCATATTATCGCGTTTTATGCAACGCGAACAACGACAAATAACGGGTAACAATATCGCTGGACGAACGGGGTCGATGATTATTTACGTTTGTCCTGCAGATAGACGCGATCCAATTATCGTTTCGTATCTCCCGTCGTCGTTTAGACAATACGCAATTTACAAGACGTATGCGACATTGGTCACGGCCGGTAACAGGTCGCCGTGCATAAGACACGCGATTGTCCGTTAAACAGCGAGAGAACCTCGCCGTTGGTCGCGTAATACGAGGGCTAATCGAAAAGTATCAAGACTGGTAGGGTATCATTCGGAAAAGGAGCATCGAAGAGCAGTAGGATTGGTATCACTCGCTTCTATGACTTTTTTCTGAGTACATTTGTTTTTATTGCTTCTCTATAAAATTCTTCGGTTTGATTTCACTGATATTTTTGTAAAATATATTTTTCGGGTTTGGCGGTTTTGTAATAAACCCAAAAGAACAGTAACTCGACAGATTTG